TCATATAAAATATATAAAAAAAGAAACAGCCAGATGGTTGACACTTTTTATAACCATCTTGAAATTACAGAAATAATGGGAGGCCCGGAGCACAGCAAAACAGGTTAAAGGAAGGGGAGAGGAGAGACTTGGCTAGCAAAGGTCTTGTTCTGCAGGTGACACCTCACAGCTGGTGCTCTGCGGAGCCTGTGGTAAGCAAGTCCTTCAGACCCTTAAAGGGGTCCCGCCTCTCAGTTTGTCTTTCCTAGATCCAGACATGGAGACTGCAGAGAAAGGCTGTGTGCATCTGCTGTCTATTCCACCGTCTCCTCTGCAGAGGCGGATTTCCCTGACTGAAGACCACGTTGCAGGCCCACAGCTGCCTACAAGCCCTCTGGGCAACCATCCCAAAATATGGCTAAGAAGCCTATTCTGAGGTTAAACATTTTTGGTTTCTTTCAGTGAGAGGCAAGGGTCTTTCAGACTAGGGAGGTAGATATGCAGCAGCCTCAGGTGCCCTAGGTGCTTTGCAGCTATGCTGGCCAGGGCACCCGAGGTAGGTCCCCTCTGCACCAGTCTCACACCCTGCCTGGGGGACGGTAGTGGAGAAAGCAGTAAAAGCAGGTCTGAGGCAGGTGTGGAGATCAGTACAGGTGGCCTGGGCAAAGGGCAAAGGGTTAAAAGAATGTTGGGAGCCATGGGTGACTGGCTGCATAGGTACCATGAAGACCACTATGGGCTGCAGGGTGTGGATGAGGGGACAGTTTGCCCCAGAGACCAAACCTGATTTGTGTCAAACATCACAGGATTCTTATTTTGTATTTTTTTTATTAATTTTTTTTTTTTTTTTTTTGAGATAGGATCTCACTCTTGCCCATGCTGGAGTGTTGTGGCATGATCTTGGCTCACGGCAACCTCTCCGCCTCCCAGGCTCAAGTGATCCTTCCGCCTCAGCCTCCCGAGTAACTGAGACTACAGGCGAAAGCCACCACACCCAGCTAATGTTTATTTTTTGTAGAGGCAGGGTCTCACTGTGTTGCCCAGGCTGGTCTCAAACTCCAGGGCTCAAGTGATCCACCCACCTCAGCCTCCCAAAGTGCTGGGATTATAGTCATGAGCCACCACATCCAGCCAGCACCACAGGATTAAGCAGACATGATGAGTCTTTGACACGGGCAAACCAGGGCCCAGAGAGGTGACTTGGGATAGGGCTGTCTCTTCAGTCCTTACCACACTGTGGACAAGATCAACCTTAAGACAGCACCCTGGGCTCTCACTGGACCCTGCATTCCAGCTCACAGCACACAAAGCAAACTGATCCCTGGAAAGGGTCGCCTGTTGCTGCCTAGCAGCATTCTGGTCAGTTTGCATCCTTGAAGTGACATAAGCAGGGAACCAATTCAGAGCAACGTTTATTTATCAAGACAGGGTTTCACTCTGTCACCCAGGCTGGAGTGCAGTGGTGCAGTCACGGTTCACTGCAACTTCTGCCTCCTGGGCTTAAGCGATCCTTCGACCTCAGCCTCCCAAATAGTTGAGACTACAGGTGTCTGCCACCACGCCTGGCTAATTTTTTATTTCTTTTTTTGATAGAGATAAAGTCTCACCATGTTGCCCAGGCTGGTCTTGAACTCCTGGACTCATCCTAAAGTGCTGGCCTCTCATTCCCTGTCTGTGCACACCTCACGGCAAGGGCCAGCCCGTTTCCTCCTGGTCACCTCCAAATCTTGCTGCTTTTAATTCAACTCAGAGGTATGCACGTGAGGTAGGAGGGCAGGGGAGGTGGGGATGGCAGGACATGGATGGTCCTTGAGGCGTCGACTCTGGGTGTCATGGGCTGTGAGAATCAAGAAGGGCAGTGGCCTGCCTAACTTGGGTTCAGAAGTGTCACTCTGGCCACTGTGGTGAGAACTGAAACCAGCCAGGCCAATTCTCCATTGTTTCTGCTCTTCCAGGCAGGAGAATATTAGGCCTGGAGTCAGAAGGTAGCAGTGGCTGGGGATTGTCGGGGGGTGGTGGGAAGAAGTGGTCCTTTGGTCAGGGTGGGAAGCCAACAGGATTTCCTGGTGCATTGGAGGTGAAAGCGAAGAGGCACTGGTGGCTGTGCTTTGGTCCTGAGCAGCCAGAAGCCAGTTGCCATCACCTATGACAAGGGAGACGGCACCTGGAGCAGAGCCCAGTATGGGGTGCGTTCAGGGTAGATCAGGAGGTATGAGTGGGCAGTGGGCAAGTCAGCCTGGGGGTTGTCGGGGAGGCCTGGGTTGCAGGTGTAAGCGTGGGACCCACGTCAGATTGGTGGCGGGTCACGCACACTGGGCTGGCTTTCAGGTCCTCCTTGCTGGCTTCCCGCTCCCAGGGACTTTCTCCTCCCAGATTCCTTAGCTGGGTAAGGGGTGGGACAGAGCCCTTTCCTAGGGAAGCCCGGCATCCCTTGCTGTCCAGGGAAGGGGGAGTCCTTCCAGACCCTGGCAGCTACTCCGCCCCTTCTCTGGCCTCCCCAGGCCTAGCCAGGGCTGGGTTCTCACCCACCTGTGCCACCCTGCCTTGTTACCCGGAAGCACAGCCTTGGGGACTGAGCGGGCCCTCACTGTCACTTTAAGAAGGGAATCAGCCACCTTGTGTTCACCACCTCTGGGGAAGGTGTGAGAGGGGAGAAGGAAGTGGCTGTTTGGCTGCTGACAACATGAAGACTTCCTGCGATGAGAACAGAGGCACAGGTGCCGGCCCTGCAGTCCCCAGAACCTGGACTGGAGGGGGCCATGGGGCGCCGGACCCTGGCCCTGCCCTGGGTGCTGCTGACCCTGTGTGTCACTGCGGGTAAGTGCCGGCACCAGAGAGGGGCAGGGGCTGCAGGGAGGGCGATGTAGGACAACAGCCCACCAACCTTGCTGCTGTTCCACAGGGACCCCGGAGGTGTGGGTGCAAGTTCAGATGGAGGCCACTGAGCTCTCGTCCTTCACTGTCCATTGTGGGTTCCTGGGGCCTGGCTCCATCTCCCTGGTGACTGTGAGCTGGGGAGGCCCCGATGGTGCTGGGGGGACCAAGCTGGCTGTGTTGCACCCAGAACTTGGCACCCGGCAATGGGCCCCTGCTCGCCAGGCCCGCTGGGAAACCCAGAGCAGCATCTCTCTCGCCCTGGAAGACTCTGGGGCCAGCAGCCCCTTCGCCAACACCACCTTCTGCTGCAAGTTTGCTTCCTTCCCTGAAGGCTCCTGGGAGTCCTGTGGGAGCCTCCCGCCCAGCTCAGACCCAGGTGGGGCCAGGGCGAGGAGCCCAGGAGGGCAGGGAGGGGCTTGGGCACTGGCCACTGATCTGATTCTTGTCTCTGTGCCCAGGGCTCTCTGCCCCGCCAACTCCTGTCCCCATTCTGCGGGCAGATCTGGCCGGGATCTTGGGGCTCTCAGGAGTCCTCCTCTTTGGCTGTGGATACCTCCTTCACCTGCTGCGCCGACAGAAGCACCGGTGAGACCTGGGCCCTGTTCACATCCCCCTGACACTGGGCTGGCCACATGCCCTGCAGAGCTCTGACCATCCTCGCTCTCTCCCAGCCCTACCCCTAGGCTACAGCCATCCCACACCAACTCCCAGGCACTGACAGCACAAGCATGGGTGAGGAGGGGGGCTGCTTTGGGGACGAGGTGGCAGGGGAAGGGGGGCCAGGGCTGGACCCAAGCTGTACAGACTCACTTGACCCTCCTTCCCCCGTGCAGGCGCCCAGCCAGGCCTCCCAGGCTGCTCTCCACGACCCTTATGCCACTATCAGCACCAGCTTCTGCCCAGCTACTTTGGACACGGCTCACCCCAACGGGTGGGCATCACTCCCCACCCACGCCGCACACCAGCCCCAGGGCCCTGTCGCCTCGGCCTCCACACCCATCCTTGCACATGGCAGCTTTGTCTCTGTTGAGAACGGACTCTACACTCAGGCAGGGGAGAGGCCTCCCCACACCGGTCCCGGCCTCACTCTTTTCCCTGACTGTCGGGGTCCCAGGGCCGTGGAAGGACGCTTCGGAGTTCGATGAGAGAGACCATGAGGCCACTGGACTTTCCCCTTCCCTGGCCTCCTGGGCGCCACCCCCTTTATTCTTGGGCCTCCAATAAGTGTACCACGGGTACTTGGCCAGGCCCACCTGCTGCGGATGTGGTCTGTGTGTGTGCATGCGTGGGGGTGTGTGGGCACAGGTGTGAGTGTGTGCGTGACAGAACCCCATTCCAGTCGTTTCCTGCCGTGACGAAGTCAGCAACACAGTTTCTCTGACTTGGGCCTTGACTGTGCTGCTTCTTTGGGGGTGAAGAGACTGGGGAGGCAGTCTCCACCCCTGGAGGAAGAAGCCAGGTGAGAACCAGAGTGGGTTGGGGCCTCCTTGCAGGGTTGGAGTTGGCCCAGGGAGAGGGCAGTGTCCCAATCTTAGAGATCTGTCCTGGCTTCTTGGGGTGGCGGGGGGTTGGGGGAGCTTCCTGAGGGACACTTCTAGCTGCCTAGATAGAACTGGGGGATCCCAGCAGGATGGTTTCTGCTCCAATCCCACCATGTCCTAGGACAGCTGCAAGGGTTCCTGGGGCTTCAGCCTGAGAGAAGTCCCTGTGGTTTGACCTGGCATCCTTCTGCCGGGCTCCCTGCTGTGGCCTGGTCTGCGGTCCTGATGCCCTCCTTCCACAGCTGGTGTCAGGCAGGGGGTGGAGAGTAGGGGGATTCGCCTGAAATCTTCCCTCAGTCACTTCCCCCACCTCCTCTCCGGGCAGGCAGAGGCCTTCACAGACATGGGGGCCTCCCCACAAAATGTTCCATCCAGAGCCGGCCCTTCTGCTTGTGGGCCCCACAGCCTGGGCCTGATGGGGCTTTTGCCACACAAGACAGCGTGAGTGAGAGGGCTCTGGGCTTCGAGACTCCCCAGGAACGTAGCAGGCCCTAGGTGGTGGGGCTGTGTCGTTCCGGAGCCAGGCTGAGGCTGCTGCCCGAGCAGGGGTGAGCACCCCTGGGGAGGAAGGGCACCCGCCCCTCAGCCCCTCCCTGGGACTGCATGGGGGACATCGCAGGAAGTGCCAGCTGCCAATCAGGAACCATGCCCTACGTCCAGCTCAGGGACGGCCTGCCCAGAGGCTGCATCCACCCTCACCACCCTCCGCAGCCCAGCGCACTGCCCCAGGCAGGCCCTGATGTGGCCTTGCCAGGACCCAGCCCCATCCAGTTCCCAGCTCTGCACTATGCTGGAAAGAGGGTGGTTGCAGGTGGTCAGGCCTGCCTTCCTCAGCTGGTGGTCATCCTCCTCCTCCCAGAAACCCGCAGCACTGGCCTAGGCAGCTCAGCAGTTCCTCCAGGACTGGGGGCTCAAGGAAGAGACGAAGGGTTGCTGCAGAGGTCCCCAAGGAGGGTGAGGAAGGCAGTGCCGGGAGGAAGATGACAGGGAGGGAAGGGAGAGAGCAAGAGCACCCTGGACCCAGGGTGGGTGTGAACAGTGGGGCTTGTAAGGTCTCAGGGGAAACCTAAAGGGGATCCCCAGAAAGCTGGGTATCTCTAAGAAGCAGACAAAGGGGGGCCGGGCGCGGTGGCTCACGCCTGTAATCCCAGCACTTTGGGAGGCCCATGCGGGTGGATCATGAGGTCAGGAGATTGAGACCACCCTGGCTAACACGGTGAAACCCTGTTACTACTAAAAATACAAAAAACTAGCCGGGCGTGGTGGTGGGCGCCTGTAGTCCCAGCTTCTCTGGAGACTGAGGCAGGAGAATGGCGTGAACCCGGGAGGCAGAGCTTGCAGTGAGCCAAGATCGCGCCACCGCACTCCAGCCTGGGCAACAGAGCGAGACTCTGTCTCAAAAAAAAAAAAAGGCAGACAAAGGGGGAGCTCTGAGGGACCCCTTGCCAGGGCCACTTGCCCATCACACAGTGGAGGAAGAGTCCCCTGGCCTGAACCTGTCTTCCATAAGCTTAGGAGGCTGCAGCCCAGCCTGGTCCCTGTGGGACTCAGAGCCAAACACCTTGGGACCCAGAAAGTATCCCGACATCCAGCCTGCTCTGTGCTGCCCAACCTCAAGTGTGAGAGCCAGCAGCAGCGACAAAAGGGCACCCTGAGAGTGTGTGGTGCACTGTGCTGTGGTGCATGGTTGAGCCTGAGACCCAGAGACCAGAGTGCTATTGGTTCAGTGTGCATGGAAATTGAGGCCTGAGGGAGCTGATGTGCTCCAGGGGAAGAGCTGAATCAGCCCAGCAGCAGCACCTGCTTCCCCTCCAGTGGCCCCAGGTGCCCAGGACAAGCCCCAACACCCATGGCCCACAGTAAGGTTTCAGCTTTGAATGGACCTGGGTTTGAATCCTGGGGATCCCTCCCTGGCCGTGTGGCACCCATGTGGCTCATGTGGAGCATCAGGTACATGAGAAGGGCGAGGAGGCCTGCAGGGATGTGAAGATTGTAAACCAGGAGGCTCCCAAGGCCTGAGCAACTCTTCCCAGATGGTCTTATCTTACAAGTCAGGAGGTGGGTATTTTCAGGATGTCCAATTTGACAGATGTGGAGCCTGAGGTGCAAAGCATTGCCGTAACCCGCCCAGGGGGCACAGGGCTGGGAGGAAGAGGAGTTCTTGGGGAAGGAGGGCAGGGGGCAGGCCTGGACAAGCATGTTCCTGGTGGGTGGAGGCGCAGCTGGCTGATGAGGGTGCTCTGAGAGCAGTCTCACATCTACACCAGGTGGTGTGGCTGACATTGCTCGGGGGCCAGGCCAGATCATGTCTGAAAGGCCTGAGTGTCAGGGCCTAAGTCAAGGGTGAGATACACCATGTTCATATATCACAAGGCTCATTGTTGTTTTGGTGGTGGTGGTTTTTTTTTTTTTTTTTTGAGATGGAGTCTTGTTCTGTCACCAGGTTGGAGTGCAGTGGCGCAATCTCAGTTCACTATAACCTCTGCCTCCTGGTTTCAAGCGATTCTCCTGCCTCAGCCTCCTGAGTAGCTGGAACTACAGGCGCCCACCACCACGCCCAGCTAATTTTTGTATTTTTAGTAGAGACGGGGTTTCACCATGTTGGCCAGGATGGTCTTGATCTCCTGACCTCATAATCCGCTCACCTCAGCCTCCCAAAGTGCTGGGATTACAGGCGTGAGCCACCGTGCATGGCCTAGCGGTGGTGTTTTGGGACAAGGTCTCACTCTGTCATCCGGGCTGTGCAGTGGTGGGATCTCAGCTCACTGCAGCCTCAACCTCCTGGGCTCAAACGATCCTCCCGCCTCCGGCTCCCAAGTAGCTGGGACCACAGGCACGTGCCACCATACCTGGCTAATTTTTGTAGTTTTTCTTTCTTTTTTTTTTTTTTGTAGAGATGAAGTTTCATTGCCCAGGCTGGTCTCAAACTTTGGGCTCAAGTGATCTGCCTTCCTTGGCCTCCCAAAGTGCTGGGATGACAGGCATAAGCCACTGTGCCTGGCTAAGGCTCACTGTTAACAGGTCAATATCCCCAAATTGATTTTTTTTTTTTTTTTTTT